GGTAGTCGTGCTTTCGGTAGTAGAGGGGGTGGTAGAAGTAGGTGTTGGAGTGGGAGTAGGTGGAGTGGTGGTAATTGTGGTAGTTGTAGTTTCGGTAGTAGAGGGGGTGGTAGAAGTAGGCGTTGGAGTGGTAGTAAAACACTCCACCGGACAGCAGACGTTGATTTCATAGTCGAGACAGACTCGTGCAGGCATTACAGGTCCAGGAATCTGGTCTTTGTTTTTGCAAATAAGCCCAGTGGAAACATCACATGTCACTTTCTGTTGCAAATCCTCAAAAGACCAGTCAGGAAACTTCCTTGCTCGGCATGATATGTTTTCTGGCTTCTCGCAGATCTTTATGTTGTGCAGTTTGATGTTTTCATAAGTTTCATTGTCACCTTTATCAAGACCAATTTCTGGGACACTCACGGAAATCCACCCAGACCACTGACATTTTTGGGTTAAACAAGGTGCTGTAAGGAAAGCGTGACAGAAGCAGAAAGAATTCCTATTGTAAGAACAATACTAAAACAATAGTTCAAGGCTACGATATGCTGTTATAAAATAACAAAAGCTAGAATTAACAGAGTGCTTGTATTTGGATCAGGACTTCTTTCTTTGCTCATTAACCTATTTGCTTGTGTAGCCTTTAGGACAGGGTGGCTCAGGAATTCTGGGAGTTGAAGTCCACAAGTCATAAAAGGACCTTGCTTACCAGGCCCTGCTTCAGAGCTACAATTTCCTGACCTTTAAAAATTGAGGCAATGCTTTGCTGCCCTTGATGCTTGCCTGGTTTTCTGCAGCTCAAACCTAATTAGTCCTAGCATTATTAATTGTCTCAGATATGGAACTGTATTGTTCACACTTGTTTTTCTGTTCTGCTCCTCTAATCTGTTTTTTTTTTTTTAAATAAAAATTTCTCACATTCAAATCCAGTTTTGGTCTATTATATTCTCTTTCAGTGAAGATAATAACCCACAAAAATACCTGAATATCCAGAATTTTAGTAGGATATCAACCCAAATGACAGATAATGTAACTGACAGGAATTAATTTAAGTCTATTTACATGTACCATTTCTCAAACCCCTCATTCCGTAAAATAAATTATACTTGTCCTCCCAATTCACAGCCATTGTTTTTTGTTTATTTCGAGGGTAACTAATTGGTTGCTTCGTTATATGAGCACTGCAAAAAACCTTAGTGTTTTAGGGAGGTAGAAAGGAAAGTGTATAATGTTTATGTGGAGTAACAGTCTTTTATATTCTTTAGTGTAGATGTGTTGGTGGAAGTGGAATAGCAGGAAGGCTAAAATGTTGATGGTACAAGAGCAATTAGAATGGGAAAAAGTTGCTATATAAAAGTTAAATCTGTGTTTACATTTTCTGATATGGAAGCAGTATTAGCCTTGCACTATCATAAAAGTAAAGAAATTGTTTTTCCTTAAATAATGCATTCATTCTTGAACATAGAATAACTTTCTTTCACTAAATGCATTTATCTTGATAAGCCCTTAGCACTGTGGTAACTACAATAACTCTGATCATTTTCTTTTTCATCTTGTAGCATCAACAACGTTCAATCTGTGCATTAGCTTTGATCAGTCTGTTAATGCTAGAGCCACCATTAATTCTACAATCACCATAAGTGCTCTATATAGCATTGCCTGTCTTCTGTAAATCAAGCAGCAGTATAAAACCTTGCTCAAACTTAGATTTCAATTTACTCAATTTGTAACATTAAATTGCTTTCAGGGTTATCCACAGAGAGAGGTCTCCAAAAAAATCAACATGATAGCTGCACGTTTTTTTATATATATATATATCTCTCCCTCTCCCTCTCTCTCTCTCTCTCTCTCTCTCTCTCTCTCTCTCTCTCTCACACACACACACACACACACACACACACACACACACCTCACTCGCTCGCATGCTTGCACGGATACACACACAGAGAGACTTTGCTCCAATTTGGTAATCTGATAGTTTCATAGATAGTAAGCATGGAGCATTTTAATTTAGTTCAAAGGTGTACAATATAGTATCTGTATACTAATACAAATATTTATAAATATTATTTTCTTTCTTAAAATCTCCATGACTTCAAAATGGAAAATAAACCAGATGTTTATTTCCTTTAATTCTTTTTGCTAACAGTCCTCACAAATTCTCAGCATGGTTATCTGAGTATTTCTGGACCTGTTCCTTTAAAACAAAAAAGATGCCTTGAATTAAACATGTTTTGTACTTACTTGAACCTGTAGTAGAAATGCCTGAAATGGGGAAAAAAGAATAATACATGAATCCCTTTTAATGAAAGGATTGTGCTTTATGCTGCTAAATTTTTGACCTTTCCCACATTCCTTTTATTACTTACTTGTAGTTGAAATTGTTGTAGTAGGGACTGAAATGGAGAAAAAAAGAATAGTAAGTCTTGGTTGGTTCATCTTAAGAGTTTTAGAGAAAATTGGCAAAGTTTCCACACTGAACACAGCTCAACATGGTATTATCAACCAAATTTCTATACAAGTTTATTGTCCTCCAAGGTAATAAAAAGAATTATTAACACTGGGAGCTTACTTGGGCTGGTAGTAGTGGTGGTGGTGGTTGTAGTAGTTGTAGTAACAGTGCTGGAAATAGTTGTAGAAGAGGAAAATTTGCATCCATCATATTTAATTTCCATGGTGCCATTTAGTGTGCATATTAGGTACACACATGAATCAGTTTTGTTAACAATGATGTCTCCTACGTTATACTCTTTGCCATCATAAACACAACACTCTGTGTAAAAAGATATTAACAAAGTTCAGACAGAAAAAAAATTCACAACCTGAGAGCTGAACAGTTGTTTCCTTGCAATGTTAGCTTCACTTCAAGAGGAATGAGTTCAGAAAAAAAAACTTCTCATGTTTTTTTAACAGGCCAGCCATATTCTAAAGGGCTTTGATCCAAAACCTTTAAAGTCTTAAGTGTCTTAACTTATACCTTTAATGACATCAAGAAGTGAACTGGTAACTAGCCAGCTAGAGTGCCATTTTATGGTTTGATCTTTTAGAGCCAGTTACAACCTGGGTTGCCATATTTGACCAGCTATACTTTCCAAAGAATCTTTAAGGGCAATTGTAAGTGAACTACATAATGATTTAATCAATAAGTGACAAGATTTGGGTTATATCAAAATGTTGCAGAACTATTCATAATGATATACCAGCCAAATTTTGAAAAAAGAAGGTATATGACCTGAGCAACATGTAGCAAAGCTGAATGGGAGCATGTCTCTAAATTATATATCCATTCCTTCAGAGAAATGTAATCCCATAGGCTGGTGAGAGAGCCTTATTCTTCAGAAAGAATACTTCTTCTTATCAAGTTTTAATCCCATTTTGTAACATCAAATTCTACAGATTTCAGACATCATTTCAAGATATGAATAGCCACATTAGTTGGGTGAGATGCCCAACTGGATAACATCTATCTATAGACATCTTATCCTATAGCCCTAGATCAGGGGTCGCCAACCTTTACCAAACTCATAATTTTAAATCCCGTGGACCACTAATATTTTGACTGACGGTGGTTTGCTGACATTGGTGGGAAAGTCGGTCCCATATTCCAGAGCTGCAGTAGTCATAGGACTGACCCTTTGGTTATCCCGGAGCTGCTCCTCTACCCGGGTGCACCGGCCTGCCATGGACAGGAGGAGCAGCTGCTCCGAGATGACCAAAGGGCCAGTCTTGTGACTACTACAGCTCTGGAATATGGGACTGACTTTCCCACCAACGTCAGCAAGCCACCCCAAAGTGGATTTCCCTCTTCCACTGTTGGTGTTACCTTCCAGTTCCAGATCGCGTGGCTCTACTCAAGGTAAGGTTTGCGCTCGGCCGAAAGGTGAGGGCCAGCGGCTGGGCGGGCCATATGGGTGGCGCAGCCTTGAGTTCCTGTGCAGCCTGGATTAATTGCTTTGGGGGGAGTGCTTGGGGGGGACATTTCTCTGCGGACCACCAAATTTTTCTCATAGCCCACCAGTGGTCCCTGGCCCACAAGTTGGCGATCACTGCCCTAGATTACTTCTCCCAGCAATTTCAAATAAATGTTAAGTGTAGAAATCTCTTAGATCTTTAGCAAACTACGTAGAGCACCAATTACATTGAACAGACTCTTTCACATCTACATTCTGAGTCTTATATGTGAGGTTGGATCTGAATAGCCACAAGCCAGTATCTCTGATAGGCAACCCACCATGAATAACAGTGAAAGCTCCTGAGAGAATTGTGAGAATCAAGGCGTACACATTCTGCCTTACCTAGGTTCTTGAATAAAAATGTTAAAGTGGCCGAAGCTGTTAGAGGGGCAAACCAAGCTCTGAATCTCATCTGAAATTGCCCCAGATAATCAGTTTCCTCCAGAAACTTTAATTCTTGTGCTATGAATCATTCTGTCACCTTGCCCAAAGTGGGAATTTGAGACAGCTTGATGGTCATTCATAGAATTCAGAATCCTAAAGTTGAAAGAGGTCATAGCGCAGGGATCTCCAAACTTGGCAACTTTGAGACTTATGGACTTCAACTCCCAGGATTCCCCAGCCAGCATGGCTGGTTGAGGAATTCTGGGAGTTGAACTTCACAAGTCTGAAAGTTGCCAAGTTTGGAGACCTCTGTCATAGAGTCTAACATCCACAATGCTCGATTCAGGAATTTAATTTCAAAGCATTCCCAAGTGATGCTGCCTAGGCTCTATTCAACTATCCAGTAAACACGAGCTGACCCTCTCCTGGATCGACTGGTGTACTGGTGTATTGTTGTAAGTATTTTCAATCTGTCACATTTTGAAAAGCCTTTTCATCAATGGATGAACTACTGCTTGCTTCAGGAAGTTTGAATATCCTCTGGCTGTTGTTACACTCTTTTGGCTAAAATAGTTTGGTAAGATTCAAACACACCGATAGTTGGCTTTGCTCTTTCAAAAGTTCCATCCTTGTTATCTGGTATAACAAACTAAACAGGATCTCATAATAATGGATGAGAGATGACTATTATCATCTCTTTTGAAACTGGAAAGGTAGAACCCATATGACAAAAAACATGAGAGACATTACCTGGAAAACCTTGGCAAAATACTCCCAAATCTGCTCTTCCCTTTGCTAAACAAGCCTCAAGAAGTTGTATACCTCTTCACAAGATTCTAAGCAATCAATTTACAGGTTGAAAAATATAATTTATAGCTGCCAGCATTATTCCATAGTGGACTTTACAATAAACTATATTATGTGCCTTATTGGATTCAGTTTGTATATCCAACTTTCAACCATCTCAGGTCTATATTAAAAGTTTCCCTCTAACTCAAGAACCATTATGGCTGTGTACATTGTCAGAGAACTATACTAAACATTGTACTACGAAGTATTAGAACTGTAGGATGGCTGGTAATTATAAATAAATAAATAAATAAATAAATAAATAAATAAATAAATAAATATTTGCGCATAAATGTATATTTACTGGGACTTAATTTGACTTTCCTTAAATATACCATGTATAGAAAAAAGTTTCAAAATAAAGCTGATATTCTTAATATTTGAAATTTAAAATTTTTTAAAACAAACACCTCAAATCACGGCTTGCTCTTTCAAGAGTGACATATGGAAGCTGCTTGGGTTTTGTACAGGAAAAACATACCTTTGTCATGTTTACAGATCACATTTCCTGATGACTTGCAGTAACTGAAAGTTTTGGAAAAAAAACAGAAACAAAATATTTTAAGTTTTATTTATTTAGCAATATTAAACTTTAATATTGAAGTTTTGTTAAGTTTTTGTAGCCTGACTATATTCACTCTGCAATTGCTCTTGTGGTGCCTTGGATTCATCATGAAATTCTAATAATAAATGTAATTTGTTCCCATAATTTCACAGGACAGGAAGTTAACGCTGGCAGGAATAGATATTAGAATAGAGTCAGATCTCAGTAATGGCTATGCTGGCTAGGGAATTATGGTAGTCAAAGTCAAAATTGGGAAACACTGCCCCTTAGGGCCTACTTTTTGTTACCACCACCTATTTTTTTTACCATGTGCCAAAAAACTTTGGCAAAAACTGGTTGTTTTTTTTTTTTTTTTTTTTTTACAACTAAGCTCCTTCGTTTTGCCAGTATTTTCTCTTTAAAAGGAAGGAAGAAGGAGAGAGATTGCTTCCTGACATTTTCTTTTTGTAGAAAAGATAGCCTTGCGTGTACATTGCTTTATATAGCATTTTTATCACAATATGACATTGAGTGAGGATTTTAATGGGGGCTATAACGTTGAACTCCCGTAAAGAGAGGAAGAAATTGCATGAAACTATTCTTTAACTTTTTATACATAAAAAGCAAGCTGAATGACTTCTGGAGATTAGTCAAAACCCAAACTCTCAACTAGGACATCTCTATCTCCTTGGATTCCTCAGATGAACATCTCTCCAGATATAGAGGTTTTGTGGAAGACAGCTTCATGAATTGAATGACCCCAAAAGGGGAAACCTCTGGTCTATCATTGTCTCTTCTTGCTGCTACTCTCAAAGTTCCTAATAATCTCTTCCGAAAGATAAGGACCATTCAGAACAGCATACACAGTGGTTTTGCCAGTTGAGGGGGAAGGAGGGGTAAGGAAGCATGGGCATGACTTGCCACAATTCTTGTTCTTCTCCATGCAGCTGGGTTCCAACTCACTGGACACCAGTTCACTTTGCTAGCCAAAAGACCTTTTCCCGCTATTGCTTTATCCATAGTATGGTATTCTTAAGTCATCATAAGAAATAAATAGTGCATATGAAGCATTATGGAGCTTATAAAAACACACAAGGTGGTGATTATCTGACAAGCTCATTTTCTTCTATCAAATGAGTTTACTGACTTCTGGAGGAAATAGTAGCTGGAAGAGAGAGTACACAATTTTGCATTCCCATCTCTTCTAACCTTTCGCCCTTTTCAATGTATTCTATCCTAAAGTGCTTTCTAATTTAGAATGCTGTTCTCGTCACACACTCACAGACAAATCCAACAGTTTGAAACTGAATAGTTTCAATAACGACATTTGTTTAAATGCTTTTTTTCTGTTCTTCCTCCATTCACTTTATATTTTCACATACCAAGAGTGGCAGAGTTCTGGGTGTTCATAGTTGGGGATGAGATGTCCAGGTGGATAGTAAATATCATTATAGTAGCAACCACATGTTTCCTTTGTTCCACATGATTCGGTCTCCTCATTGTAGATTGGATATTCTGGAGGACATCGTGGGTAGCATCCTATTGTCCAAAAAGATGCAATTTGTAAAATGGCAGCTATTATCTGTCTGTGTCATAGAAGCATTGCATGAAAGAGACATGCTCCAAAGACTTGATTTAAAAAAACAACCCTTTGATTTATATATCAGAAGGAAATGGAAATTATTCAGTCTAGAGAGCCAGTTGACTGGATGTCATTTATAAGGGACAGACACAATTCTGCACTTCTTCTATGTATGTTTATCCTGATATTTCCCTTGGAATAATAACACTAAGAATATACTAGAAAGGGGGCAAAAAAAGAGAATCCCCTTTTCATTAAAGACTGAGAGTCAAGACTTTGGTAGCTAAAGAAACACTCATGTCGTGTTTTATCTCTAATGAAATTTAGATCTAAATCTTTGGAACAGTTTTTTTTTTTTTTCAAAAAAGCAGTCTAGTAGACTAAGCACAGAAATAAAATGGCCAATTAGAAAGAAAAATCTTGTCCCTGGGCATTTAACAGTCTTCATTCTGATGAAGCAAAAGCTAAAAATCATTAATCAGAGACAAGGATGTTTCCTAAACTCCAAACCAAATACCAGGAAGGACCTCAGTGGCACCAACCCATTTTTGGCCCAAAAATAAATAAGCAGCATAGCTTTCCTACCAAAGTGGATCAGCTCACTGAATGACTTTTATTTTATGTTTGTTTATTGACCACCCAGCTGAATGACCCAACCACATTCCCCCAACTATTGGACTAACAAACAGTCCTAGAAGAACAAATCCACCAAAAATTAATAGGTCTTTTACCTTCTAAGAATGACACTGAAAAGTTGGTGCTGCCTTGATTGAGGATCTTGCAAGTTAAAATATCACGTCCACAGGGCTCATAGTGCCACTCACATATATCTTTATTAGGATTGTAGTATTCACAAAAGATTGCTTTAAAAAGAAAGTTGCTCATTAGAAAAGAAGGAGATAAATTTTTGCCCTCAAATCCTATGTAAGATATCTCTGTGTGACATCGCAGAAACTAATGAATAACACTACAGTTAGGTATCCTATAGATATATAGCTGAGGTATCATATAGAGGTATCCTACGCTGGCTGTCTTTAATGCTAACATTATCTATGTTTTTGGAGGAATCTTTAATAAAAAGTGCATGGACACATACTGGAAGCAGAATGATGGCTTTAAAGGCAATGATGCAAAGACTGTTCCATGTAATTTTTTTAATCTAAATTGACTTGTCAGTAACATGGAAACATAGAAAGCTAACAGCGGAAAATGACCTGATGGTCTATCAAATGTTGCCTTTTGAGGTTTTTGTTTGTTTGCTTGCTTGTTTGCTTGCTTTTGCTGTTATATTATTATTAACTTCAATTCGATTCACAGCCTGGGAGTGGTAAAAATTTAACAGTTCAAGTCCTAACCAAAGACCTAAGAGCTGTTAGGGTAATGTCTGTGTATATAGGCAGTTCTGATATATTCAGGTCTAAAAAGTTCAAAATGTCCATGTATCAAGGCAGGGTATTGCTCCAAGGGCTCCTATTTCTTCCTCATAGTAGCTCAACTTCAATGTGAACACAATATTTTGTTATTTTTTTCTAGCTGTTTCTCTTCAATTTATGTATCCCATGGTATTGCAATATCAATGAACCAGACTTTTTTCTTTTCCACAAAGTGTGTTGTGGGCCATCCAAAAGTCCCGCAGGTTCTTGACTTGCTTATTTTCAAGAACTTTGTCAATTTTGTGTTCCTGGTAATTTTTGCTGCATTGAAACCCAAATTCTGGCAAAACTTCCAATGTATGATTTTGAGAACTTGATAATAATGTTTATTGTTATTGTGATCATCATCTGACGGTATCTGGCCTCAGGGATTCCTTATCACAAAGCTAAAGGGTTTTAGCAAAAAATGTCTAAGGTTTATTCAGAGAATAAACCTTACCAAGATTAGGTTTAGCTAAATTAAATAAACACATCTAGGCTTGTGAAAGATTATAGTCTAGAGTTTTCTAGATCATCATCCTTTGGGATAACTGGATATTGTATGCTTATCCTGGAACTTCAGTAGTTTTTCTAGAATGCTTACGGCATATATCTGGAGTTCTCCAGTGGACGCATGCTTCAGCTTTGATGCATTCATGCGCATAGGCAGCAACTGCAGTACAGAAGCATTCACAGTCTCCCCCGGTATCACAGGCACAGGCATCATGTACACAGGCTTCGTAGTATGGCTGTGGATCCACCTATTGAAAAATTACAGAATCACAGCATTTGGATATTTGCATGACTGCATTTTCCTCTGAACACAGAAGAGCTCAGCAAACGGATTGAGCAAGTTGATCTTCCAGTTATCTCCTTATGCTGCGTCACCTGTAAAGTCATGGAATCAATTATTAACCAATCCATTATCCTCCACTTAGAGACAAACAACCTACTCTCCAATAAACAATTTGGTGTCAGAAAAAAACTATCCTGTAATCTGCAACTCTTACACTGCAAAAACATATGGACTACACAACTCGATCAGGGCAAAGCAATAGACGCAATCTACATAGACTTCTGTAAAGCCTTTGATTCAGTGGTACACGACAAACTACTCCTAAAACTAAAATCTTATGGTATCTCTGGACAACTGCATAAGTGGATAGAAGCATTCCTGTCAAACAGACAACAAATGGTCAAAATTGGGAGTGTCCTATCAAATTCTGTACCTGTCAATAGTGGTGTCCCCCAAGGCAGTGTTCTAGGACCAACTCTCTTCATACTCTACATAAATGACCTCTGTGATCATATCAAGAGCAAATGCATTCTCTTTGCTGATGATGTAAAGCTGTTCAATACCACAGACAATACTGCTACCCTTCAAAAAGACCTTGACTATGTATCAGAATGATCAAACAAATGACAACTTCAAATCTCAACAAATAAATGCTCTGTCTTAAATATTGGCAAAAAAAATCAGAAAATAAAATACAGGCTGAATAGTCAAGACTATTGTTGATGATCCAAGCTCTGTAAAGGATCTTGGAGTACTCACCTCTAATGATCTAAGTGCTAGAGCCCACTGTAACTACAGAGCCAAAAAGGCATTAAGAGTTGTTAACCTAATCCTACATAGCTTTTTCTCTGGTAATATCACACTACTAACTAGAGCATACAAAACATTTGCTAGACCAATACGCAAATAAAAGCTCATCAGTATGAAACCCACATTACGTATCTGATATTAGCACAGTTGAGAAAGTCCAGAAATATTTCACAAGAAGAGTTCTCCACTCCTCTACTTGTTGTAGAATACCTACACCAGACTTGAAATTCTGGACCTAGAAAACCTTGAATTACACCATCTTCGGTCTGATCTAAGTATGGTATATAAAATCATACATTGCAATGACTTACCTGTCAATGAATACTTCAGCTTCAACCACAACAATACAAGAGCACACAATGGATACAAACTCAAGGTTAACAGCACCAAACTTGATTGCAGGAAATATGACTTCAGCAACAGAGTGGTCAATGTCTGGAATACTCTACCTGACTCTGTGGTTCCTTCCCCAAACCCCAAAAACTTAAACCTTAGACTGTCTGCTATTGACCTCACCCCTTTCCTAAGAGGTCTGTAGGGGGCGTGCATAAGCACCCCAATGTGCCTACCGTCCCTGTCCTATTGTTTCTTTTATTTTTCTTATATGTACCCATTTCATGTATTCATAACTATGTACTATTATGGTAAGCAATTGACAAATCAAAATAAAAAAATAAAATAAATAAAATAAGTCTACATGCAGTGGATGAATGAGGTTCCATCCCATTCACATTGGAAACACCAAGGTGCTTCAGGCCCTTAAAAGTTTAATTTCTCTCAATTCTTAGGGAAAGGAAACTGTATTTTTACTTAAAGTTTGCTTTCTTCACATAGCTGAACATTGCATTCTGGATCAGATGTATTTAAGCAAAGCAGTCTATGTGGAACCTAACATGGAATTATTTGAACCATAATTCCTGTTCTAATGGATTGGAATAAAACTAAGCACCATAATTTTCCCTTCCCTGAATATCATTGTTCAAAAATGATTACCATAATGTAATTACAAAACTATATTTAAAATGACAATACATTAGAAAATATATATCTGGAATGTTGTTGCATCTCTAAATTTGTATCTTGTGAAAATGTTCAGAATACATATTTAAATATGCATTTAAATGACATTTTTTTTAAAAAAAATAGTTAAATTAGTGTGGAAGCAGGAAGGAAAAGATTCATAAATTAATGTTTCCAAAATTGATACAGGGCAGCTATTGTTCAGATGCACAGCAACACCAATAGTCACAGTCCAAGGCTCCCCTATGACAGTGGTTTATTTTATTTTAAAGAACACTGCGTCAAAGCATTCCCTAATATGGTGTTTTTAAATTTTGGCAATTTTACAATGTATGGACTTCAACACCCAGGATTCCTTGACCAGCATTTTAGGGATTCTGGGAGATGAAGTCCACACATCTTAAAGTTGCCAACACCATATAACTCAAAACCAAACCAAACCAAACCAAAACTACTAACCTTGTGATGACATATTTTAAAAACTTCACTTTTGATAAGGCTGCACTCTTTCTCTGCCCACGCTTTCCGATGTGGCTTCAGCTCACAGGGCTCAATGACTACCTCTACATCAGGGCAAGCCGGATCCTTTTTCCATGAATTTCCAAATGTCAAGGCATTGACTTTGTCTTGAGCCATACTCCTTGTTGTGAAGTCATTGCTGGCTTTGTTATCAAAGTTACCACACAAACCACAGACTTTCCCCTGCAAGTAAGAAAAGCACGTCGTCAAAGCTAAAATAAATTTGAATAATTTTACTGATGTGGTTCATATTTCTACCATGATCTGTTGTGGAAATACAGGTAGTCCTCAACTTACAACTATTTGTTTAGTGACCATTTGAAATTACAACAGCATGGGAAAAAAGTGACTTGTGATTGTTTTTCACATTTACAACGGTTTACACATTTACAACGATGGCAGCACCCCCAAGATCATGGGATCAAAATTTGGATGCTTGGCAACTGGCATGTATTTATGATGGTTGCAGTGTTTCAGGGTTATAGGATGATCGCCTTTTGCAACCTGCTGACAAGCAAAGTCAACGGGGAAGCCAGATTCACTTTGAGACCATGTTACTAATTTAACAATTCCAGTCATTCACTTAACAACTGTGGCAAGAAAGGTTGTAAAATGAAGCAAAACATTTAACAACTATCTTGTATAGCAATGGAAATGTTGAGTTCAATTGTGGCCCTAAGTTAAGAATTACCTGTATTACGTCTAGGGTTCCAGAGGATGGGGAAAAAGTTAGTATGTAAGAAAACTGGGATAGTCTGCTCCTTCCTTTGCATGCACTATTCCAGATGACAGTTTTGTGTACAGAACTTTCCATATATAAGAAGAAGAAAGCAAACATAAGTGTGTGAAGAGGGAAAGAATTGGTCTGTTTACTTTTGAAATTAAACCAGATTCAATTTCAAAAATTCACTGTATTCCACTGTCATTTTACTTATTTAAAATAATCATTACCAAGTAAACAGCAATATCTTCATACCACACACACTAAAATAACTACAAACGGGTATGTATCACCAGCATGGAAAAAGAAGTTTACTGTAAATAAATAAATGAAAAGCTTTAAGTAAATCTGCATTAAGCATTTTACATGTTTGCCTTGGGCTGGATCCAGTAAAAGGTGTGCACTATTTTCCCAAGGCTTAGCTAAACTGGAGAGGAAAATATTTGTCTCTTCCTCCCATTTATTCTATATATTTAAATCCTATTTAAACATTATTCAGTGACTCCTCCCCGATGGGTTCAATAACTTGTTGTGCATATTGCATTAATCTACATTTATCAAGAAATAATAGTGCAAAATCATAATATACATAGAGATATATAGCATGTATTAAGACATAAATACTGTAACAAAATATTTTTAATATACTCATCCACATTAGTAACATAAAAATGTTATGCGGAAAGCGTTCTAGAAGCACTGACTTTATGGTAGGGCATGAGTTTGATGAAAATAGTTGTCTTCTTATCCCAGATGAGCATCACTCCATTGCTGGCTTCAATTACTGTATACAACCCAACTGTTCCACGAATCCAATATGTTATAGAGCTGTGGTTACTCCACTCAATTTTTTCGATGTGTTTTTCTTGCAGCTTCAGCTCTGTGGTCTAAAAGGAAGAAATACAATGGAGACTATGTGACGAAAACAGAAGATGGAATTTTAAATAGCCCCTCCTACTCAGTACACTCAAAGAAGAGTGGATTAACACATTTATTATGTTTTTTGTTTAGGTTTACACTTTTTGGAATGCAACCCGTTTCAGCCCACGGGTGAGGTAGAATCAAAAAGAGAAGTCCATTCTCTATAAAGCAGTCATCAGAATAACCCTTCCTGTATAGGAAGGCAAAAGCTCATTGATTATAAAAAATAATAATAAAGGCAGAATAAAATAAATAAATTTAAATTTGTTGTTAACGCTTTGTTGTTAATAACATAACACGACCAATCCTCAACTTTCAACTGAGTTGTCAATCTAGCAAATTTAAATTTCGTATGCCATGTTACTTAATGTCAGTCTTGAAAAAGTAGAGTGGAGTCCAATTTGTTCAAGACTTCAAAGCATTTTCTGGTTTCTTTGGGTAGGAAAGGTTGCTTTCAAACAACCTTTCTCAGGCATATTCGTTTCTGTCCTCGATACATACCCCCAGAAACAATTTAATGGCCTTGGAGCAGGTAACTCCTGTTGTTCCACAGGGGACGTTCTCTGTGATCACACTAAATGTTCCTTGCTGGTTACCACAGTAATCCTAGTGGGCATAGACAAAAACAAAAGAGAGTTAAAATTAATCAAAATAAAAAAAAAGTAAGGTTTCACATTTTACTCACAGACCGATTCTGGACAATGTGCAGTTAATCATTCCTTTTTGTTTATGAGAACATTCATGTCTCAAACCATTTACTAACCAACTTCCCCTACCCACCCAAAAAAAGCATTTAACGAGCTAGTCTTTAAAAATAGCATGTTTTATTTGGCTGAAAATTATTGTATCGGTACCAATTTGGTCATTTAATGTCATAATGTGGTCATAGTCACAGGCACAATGAGGCAAAGTAATTGATAAACCATTCAGATAAGGTTCATTCGAAGAACTGTAACCCAGGAAACACTTTATTATTGGTACAATATTTGAAATGGTCAGGAGATAAAATCAACAAACATGGAGATTGTAAAATACAAACCCCAAAGAGTCATTGCAAAGGAACTCTTCCAGCTTTTAAAACACCAACACTACAGTTCCAGATGTCCAAAATATTTTGTGAGTCAGTTGAAACAACAGAATAGATTATGGTAAAACTTGTTTTAGCTGCAATTTAGTTTCACTTAAATGTAATGGCATCCATATGGGAAGTCAAACAGATACTAACTTAAAGAAGGTACCCTGTTAGGATCAAGATTTGGCAGGACATAGATAAACTAGGCCAGCATATCTTACCCATTAGGAATTCCTGTTTTAAAAGGTGAGAAGTCTTTTTTTTTGTTTGAAACAAGAAGGTATTCTTGTGCCTTGAACAAGAATACCTATTCTTGTGCCTTGAACAAGAATACCTATTACCAGTAAAGATATTATCAACATTGAATGAAATAAATTTCAAAAACCATCCAAAGAGTTGTTAAGTTGTTAATGTTTTAATTCAGTATCATGGAATTCAATACAAGTCAGACTTTTTGAAGTTTGGTAAAATAATTATGTGCAAAAAAACTCTTAATGCAATTATTGCTGGGTAAGAAGATTCCATGGAATGAAATTCTGATGGATATTCGTGGAATAAAATTGACAGTCACTTCAAATGTATAATTTGGGTTACTACAAAACTTGGTACCAGTAACTGAATATTACCTGAGAAGCCACGTATTCACAGTGACCATCAAAATCATAGAATTTTCCATCAAAGGTGATGAAATGGCCACTGCCATAAATGGTACATGTCCCATAACACACTATGTTGGTGCATTTCCAGCTTCCTTTTTGGCAGGTACTAGAGAATATCAAAGAGAGAGAGGGGGGGAGGGAGGGAAGGAGTAAGACCAGCTATATCTCTCAATGTAATGCTTTAAAGGTACAGATCAAAATATTAATGATGTGAAATAAGAAATGACTCTCATCTTCTATTTCTATTTTGTACATAGCATATCCTACCATGTGTTGCAGCCAACTTTTATTTTTTCTCCATTGGAATAAAACACCTGGTTATGAATACAAGGGCAGTCATCTTCTGCTACACATCCCCCTCGGCCATCATCAATCAAGCCATCAGGGCAAATGCATCCTGAGATACATTCAGTCTGGAACTATGGGAAACAAGGATAATACCCACATGATTATTTCATAGCAACCTTAATACGATCTAGCCAATCAAAATTTTCATGCCTTACTTTTGTTCATATATATATTTTGGAAAGACAAATCACACTCAAGTGCACTATTTAAAGTGCATCACCAACTTGGAATCAGTATGGGCTAAAGTTAGATATGGAGTTGTGTCTCAAAATCTTTCAACTACTTGAAATATGCTTGGGAAGAAATTGCTTTCTCATTTCTACAGGGGCATATTTATTCCCTCCAAAAAAATGGAAGAATTCTATATATGTTGGTAGGCCTCTTGCTTTTAAATATGAAATGGCCAGTGACTTTACGTTGGCACTTTAAGTAGTGGCTTGGTTCATCTCTGTATTCTCTTAGTGCGGGGATCTTCTAACTTGGCAGCTTTAAGACTTGTGGACTTCAACTATGACCTCCAGTCATGTTAGCTCACGAATTCTGGGAGTTGAAGTCCACAAGTCTTAAACTTACCAAGTTTGAAGACCCTTGTCTTAGTGGAATTCACTAAAGATAATAGCTTCGCAGCAGAAATCACTATCAAAATTACATCACTTTTGGGATACGGGTGTAAAAAAAAAGCCAGAATGGAAGAAAGACATACGTGATCGGTTCCCAGCGTTTGACAGCTAAGTTGTACTGGCGTTTGGGAAGACCAAGAGTCAAAGTTGTTGCAATCAAAATATGTCTTATTGGATGAACATTCTGAAAAGGAAAAAACATGGTTGTGAATAGGTAATAATAATAATAATAACAACAACAACCACCTTACTCAGAACTGCCTATATACTCAAATGTTACCTTAACAGTTCTTAGGTTCTCAATTAGGACTTGAACTGTTAAGTTTTTTTCCAGTCCCAGACTGTGACTCTAATTATTATTATTATTAATTATTATTATTATTATTATTATTATTATTATTATTATTATTATTAT